ATCCGATGGTAATGGTTATATGTGACCCCAAGTCACTGTGCTGGTGATAAGTGTGCATTGAAAGCATAAAAAATCGTTTATACTATACATAACTAAACGAGGGCAAAGAAAAAAGGTCAATTTTTCAACTTTTTATTTTTGACATAAAAATGCACTTTTCTAGACGAGCTTTGTCCCAGGAATCTAGTGGTGCCATTTGTTTTCACATGCGATTTTCAGAAGTCCCTCTAATTCACGAAAATGCTTATGACGTCACCATGCCCTATGCATGTTGGAGCTATTTTTTACAATTTGGGGGTCAAAAATCAAGATAGAAAGTTGAAATTTGGGGCATCTAATGTTCTAATAGAGCTCTACAACACATATTCCGGTTTTTTGGTAATTCCCAAAATTTTGGATTTTATTAGCTGTTTTCCAAAAAATATTGTTTTTTGAATTTTTTAGGGGTGAAAAACGCATTTTATGCAAAATCCGAGATAGCCATTTTAAAGAACTCGTTGAGCTGCGTCTTTTGATGTCCTTAATTTGCAATTTGCTTTAAACCCTGATTTTTGGCGATTTTTTAAACATTTACCACTTTTTGACTAAAAAGCCATGTAGTTACATCACTAAAATCGATATATCTCAAAAAATTTTGGAAATTTTTTCTTAAAAATTGCACAGGAGACGTCAAATTGATGGGGGAGAAGGTATGCCAAGTTTCAAGTAGGTAGCGAAAGTGGTTCATGAGTTATTCAAGAAAAACGGAGGGGAGGGGGTCGGATCCGACTCCCCCCCCCCTGGCGGTCGCGGGTTAAAGGGACTATCCCACCTTTAACATGGGGTTTGAGTTGAGATAGCCAAGTTTGCGGCGAGGTTCAGAAACCACTATCTATCTAGGTTGCAACCCCCGCGGCCTCTTGGTGTTGAAGAAATTCGTTCCCTTCATTTAAAAATGGGCCTTGTACAAGGCCCTATCTTCAACATGGAGCGACCGTTAGTGTGACGTCACCTCGTTTAGTCATTCTGATTTAAATGGGTTTGTTCGTTGAAAAATCGCTTAAAACTTGGTTTGAACTTTGTTGTGGTGCCTACAGAGTAAAAAGAATCAGCTTTATGACAGTAATGTGGCCTGGGGAAGGAGGTAATTTTGGGCTGTGACGTCACATATTTGAAAGTTTGTGTTTGGAATATGGAAAGCCTAAGATGTTTAATGAAAAATAAATGCCAGAACCGTGTTCCTGGTCATCCAATCTATCAAGTTGGGCACAATTTAACTGGTTTTAACAACATTTTAGAAGGTGGGATAGTCCCTTTAACGCCCTTTCTGAGTAATTCTCTCAGATTTGACCTAACGTCAACGGTTTTGCCTGCAGGGGGCAAAAACTGCAAAATAGCCGATTTTTCGAAAACAGTTTTTCTGCAATAACTTTTGACCCAAGCCTTGTACGAGCTTACTTTTACCGGAATCGTGTTCCTCTCGTCAAGACGCATCGAATGAACCATAACTTGACCTTGAAAGGTCAACTTAAAAATTTGACCTCAGGTCAAGGTCATGACCTGACCGGAAAGGGTCATGTTGCATATCAGTCGATCCGTATCGTCGAGCTGAACACATCTAAGGCGTTTTCATCGCTCTAGCATGCCTCTATCAAAAGTTATTGGTGAAAAACTGTTAGATACCATTCGTGACCTAAGATGACCTCAGGGCATAAACAAGGGTCACAGACACCATTTTCATGTTCAGTGTGTCTAAACCACTTGTAATTCGGTGTTTGTGAGTGTTTATAATGTCTTTCATCCAAAAGAGGCGCATTTCAATTTTCTCCCATTGACTTATAATGGGGTGGTCGCAAAATTGACCTGACCTTAGGTCATCGATATCAAAATTCTGAGATATACATTTTGTACATGCTATTGCTCTTAGCAATCGCTGAAAGTTTCAAAGCGAGCGGTCACTCGGTGTAGCTATGACAGACATTGAAAGTTATTATGAGGTGAGGTCACTTCAAGTGACCTGGTGACCTGACCTTGAATGACCTTGGTCTGAAATTTTCACAACATGTGTAGAATTGATGTATGATAAGGTGTACCAAAAACGGCGGCGCTCCGCGCCGCCGTTTTTGAGATATTCGCGAAAAACCACAAGGGGGGTGTTCAAACACCCTCCAGCAGGGCGCGGGTTAAACAGTCCCCCCCGCAGTGCGTGGGTAGGGGTATGTGATCAAGGATGAAGGTGTTACATACCTATGCACGTTTGCCTCATTTACCTACATATGCACACCCGCCAATATAATAGATTTCTCACGGTCTTGATTCCCGCTTCTCCTCGTCGCCTGCTCGGCACCGGTCCACGCGGCACCCGCAGCGTCGATAGTCGGCCGGTGCAGCGTTCAGAGGTATCGTGTTCCCGCCTGCTCGGAGCCATTCCCCTCGGCACCCTCCAACCGCCCGCAGCGTCGATAGCCGGCCGGTGCAGCGTCCAGAGGTATCGTGTTTCTAAGGGACTTAGTGGCATTCCACTCTATTTCCTGGTGGCTTCCCAAAAACCACTGCCACAGCACCATTACCCCATCTGGTGGCTGACTTGTTAAATATCAATTCACCCGGCGTCAACCAGAGGCATTTTGTACCTTCCGATTTTAGACGATGCGATTTTGTATGATACGATCATCTAGTTTTGTACGTTGCAATTTTGTATGATACGCGTTTGTTTGATCTGCCATTGTACGTTCCAATTTTGTACGTTCTGATCATTGTTTGATTTGCCATTGTACGCTTTACCCATTGGACGGTAAACTTTTGTACGTTGGGATTTTGTACGCTGCGCTTTTGTACGTTTGGGCTGTCCCCTACCTGGCCTGTTTTGTAGGTTTTGCGCGTTGTATGTTGCGATTTTGTATGTTTTGAGGATTGTACGCTGCGCTTTTGTATGCTTTGATAGCCACCCGCCCGCGGCTCCGCCGTCCGCCGCTGCCGCCGTCCCAGGACGGGACGGGAGAGCAGAGACGATCCCAGCGGCGGGAGAGAAGAGACGATCCCAGCGGCGGGAGAGAAGAGACGATTCCAGCGGCGGGACGGGAGAGAAGAGACGATCCCAGGGCGGGACGAGGGAGAAGAGACGATCCCAGGGCGGGAGAGAAGAGACGATCCCAGGGCGGGAGAGAAGAGACGATCCCAGCGGCGGGACGGGAGAGAAGGGACGATCCAAGCGGCGGGACGGGAGAGAAGAGACGATCCCAGCGGCGAGACGGGAGGGAAGAGACGATCCCAGCGGCGAGACGGGAGGGAAGAGACGATCCCAGCGGCGGGGCGGGAGAGAAGAGACGATACCAGGGCGGGAGAGAAGAGACGATCCCGCGGCAGTCGGGTAGTCGAGCATAACAATTAGATGCCGCACGAACGATACATTTACAATCATCTACACTTACAGACGAGGCAAATGGGTCTGACTTTCCCCGAGTTAAAGCACTGAGCACTCAGCATTGATGCACTGAGCTGTATAGCAGTCGGCTCCGTGGCCCATGCCTTAGTTATACAGTTGTAATGTAGCGTGTGTGTGAACCCCAAACAAACGCGGCGCATCTGGGGCGACTGTGGCGCGTCTGAGACGTTTGTGGTGCGGCTGAGGCGATTGTGGTGCTTCGCCTCATTTGCATGTTTGAAGCGCGCGTTGACGGCTGTGTGGCTCGTCTCGTCTCGGCTCCTCCTCCCTCCATCCTCTCTCTCTCTCTCTCTCTCTCTCTCTCTCTCTCTCTCTCTCTCTCTCTCTCTCTCTCTCTCTCTCTCTCTCTCTCTCTCTCTCTCTCTCTCTCTCTCTCTCTCTCTCTCTCTCTCTCTCTCTCTCTCTCTCTCTCTCTCTCTCTCTCTTCCCCCTCTCTCTCCTCGGCTCCTCCCTCCATCCTCTCTCTCTCTCTCTCTCTCTCTCTCTCTCTCTCTCTCTCTCTCTCTCTCTCTCTCTCTCTCTCTCTCTCTCTCTCTCTCTCTCTCTCTCTCTCTCTCTCTCTCTCTCTCTCTCTCTCTCTCTCGTGTCTGTCATTTTCCGGCCAGCTATCCGAAACGATGTGTCAGGGAGGACGTTGGGGTCGGAGCGGCGACCGCACGATCCCGCAGCCCCAAACAATCACTAACGCCGCCTCAGAGACTGCTCCGCCGATAGCATGAAATGGTGAAGACAGCTCACAGACGGCATATGAATGTTTCATCGCTTAGTTAGCCAACGTCGTTATTCCGGCGGATTATTTGTTGGCTGTTTTGCGGTCAAACGCTGGTGACGACATTTGAGTTATGACGTTAACTGATTGGTCAATGTTGATGAGGCTAATTAATGTTAAATGTGTTGCCCGTGCTCTCAGTAATATAAGCATAGTACCCAAGGAAGCAGTAATCAATCATGTCACTGCACTTGAGCGCTCCGAATGCTTTTTAGAATGGTTTGCGATTGAAGTTGCATTAGCTTCTACGGGTGATTTATCTCATGGTTAGAGACGATGGCTAATATTATCATAAAAAATCATCACAATGTGTTTTCTAATAGCTTAGAACTTTGCGTATTGTATGAATGCATCAATACCACTACCATATAGGAACCAAGTACCTACCTACCTACGAACAATACGCACAACGCAGTAATTTCGCAAAACGGCGTGTCACCATTTTAACGCCAATTGATAAAGCAGAATTGCATGTAAGGATCTTGACGGGATCTGAAAGAAAGGGAAGTGGAATGTGGATACATCAAGTATCAATTGCTAATCCGCATATGTAGCCTGGCTGTTGGGATGCATGACACATTTTTACAAATATAAAAATAGCACTTCTCAGATATCTATTTGGGATGAAAATATTTTTCCCATTAGGTGAGATTTTACCTACACCTAAAATTCTGAAAAGTGGAGGCTGCAGGGCATTGAGTGTGTAATTGAGGCATGCCTGAACCTCAATCAGGTACACGGTAGAAACAGAAAGGGATTTTGTATGTAAACATTGATTCTCTCTCTATTTCGGCCAGGGAAACGCACCTGTTTTACTGGTCCCGTCCGTCGTGGCCAGGTGATGTCGGCGGCACTCGATCAGCCGGCAGACCACGCAGCGTGCCTCGCCTCTGCAGTAACCGACGGCACCCCGCACGACCTCTCAGCCCGGCGGCCGGCGCGCGACTGAGGTGCTCGGCCCGCGGGACGCCGCGACTGAGGCGCCGCTCCGCCGACAGGAGGATCAGGGGTCCGGTGGGTAGGTGGCGGGTAATGGGAGGGGTCCGGAGGGGGTAATGGGAGGGGTCCGGTGGGTAGGTGGTGGGTAATGGGAGGGGTCCGGTGGTGGGTAATAAGAAGGGTCCGGTGGTGGATACTCGGAGAGTACGGTCAGGGGCGGTCACAGACTTGGCGTTTGGCGGGGAGGGCAGCTTGGCAAAGAGACCCTTGCCTTACCCTCGGAGGGGCCCGGTGCTATGTAAATAGGTATTGATAGTACTTCGATGCCTATCGCCTAGAGGCTGAAATGGGGCCCAACAATGCTGGACCCCAGAGGCCAGCAGAGGCCCCTCAAAGGCCAAGATGGGCACTCAGAGACCGAGATGCGGGCCCTTAGAGGCCGGCATCGGGTCTTCAGAAGCCAGTGCGGGGCCCTCAGAGACACGTGAAGGTTAGTCTTGGGATACCAGAGACAGATATGAGACCACCTGGCCACATGGGGTAATCCAGGGATCATTAATCGGGCCAATCTTGTTTTTAATTTTTACAAACGATTTACCGTCATACCTTGAGGATAGCCCAAAATTGTAATGTACGCCGACGACGTGCAGTTTCTCCATCAGGGTCAACCGCGTCACATTTTGGATCTCCAGCAGAGAGTGGAACACACGGTCAACACAGCTCACCGATGGTTTACTGCAAACAGCCTAAAAATTAATCCTACAAAAACAGATCTGGTGTTAATTAACCCTCGCCGGACCTATTGGTTTTCTACATACGCCCCGGCCGAGGGGGGGGGGGGGCGGGTACGACCCCCCCTCGCCGTTTCGCCCCTGGTGGAGCTAGCGCGTCGCGGAAAAAAACGAGCGTGTGCGCCGTTACGAGACGCAGAGATTGGTACCCGATTTTAAGGTCCTAGGTCAACCGGTGACCTCTGAGGTCAGGTCAAGTGCCCAAAGGTACGGTTCAGTTTTTGGTGAATAACTTCGCGGAAAATGGCCGCAGAGCCGCGATTTTGGCAGCATCGTGTTCGCCTCGCTCAGGCGCGTCGAATGATATACTTTTTGTTCGGGTCAGGTCAACTTGGGGTGTTGACCTCAGGTCAAGGTCAGGTCAGCACCCTAAGGTCACGAAGTTGGTCGAAAGGGGTCATGTCGCATATCATTCGATTCGGCAGGTCTTCCTGAGTCCATTGGTGGCTTTCCCGGCTCGCTAGCTCAATTTGATCAAGAGTTATTGACGAAAAACTAATATGACCTTGATGACGTCATAAATGACGTCACGAAAGGTCAACATTGCAAAAGTGACGCATCTAACCTTGCAAGGAGTGCATCAAATCGCGATTCTGTGTGCTTGAGATAGTTGGAGATCGTTCCCGGCGCCAGAATAGCAGTTTGGATTTTTCCCCATTGACTTATAATGGTGAGGTCACGAAAATGACCTGACCTCATATGACCTTTAGGAAAAATCCGAGATATACAAGTTGTGAGACTCATAATGGATACTAGATCCTGCAAGTTTCATTTCCCTGTGACATCTCCTCTGGCAGTGAGGGCGTTGCGAAGTTGCGACATCTGAAGACCGTGCAGAGGTTCACTTATGACGTCATAGGTCAGTGACCTGACCTGACCCAAAAATGCGGTTGGTGTCAAAAGATGCGGCTTGGATCAAAGGTCAGGTATGCCAAGTTTCAGCTCTCTACCTCCGGCGTGTTTGGAGTTATCGCGAAAAAACCCTATGGGGGGGGCGGCACCCGCCCCCCCCCCTCGGCCGGCGAGGGTTAAGTCCAAAAGGCGTCAACTGAACCATAACTTCACGATCAATTTCGGCAATGCTGAAATTCCTCTGTCACCCGCTGTCAAAGTTCTCGGTATGACACTGGACAGTAATCTGTCATTTGACGCTCAGGTGTCAACCGTTATTCGTCGCTGTTATGCTACCATGGGAGGTCTCGCAAAATTGGCGCGGTCTCTCCCGGAGGAGGTGAAGAAAATGATAATCGAATCTTTAGTTTTTCCCCATTTAGTTTATTGCATGTCAGTCTGGGCCGGATGTGGGACAACTCAGAGGCAGCGTATTCAAAAGGTTATCAACCACTGTGCGCAGATAGTGAAGGGTGTTCCGCGATCTGCCCATGTATCGGCGATACTGAGTGAATTGAGCTGGCCGAACGTGGATGTTTTGGTGGCTGAGCGTGACATGGCCATGATGCACAGCATACTGTATAACGACCAAGCGCCGGCCAGTCTGCGTGAGCGCGTTGTGTATCGCGACACTGTGTCAGTGCGAGACACGAGAGCGACCGATGCCGGTCAGCTGCAGTTGCCGCGAGTCCGCACCGAGCACGCTCGGAAGTTTTTCAACTCCCGAGCCGCGGCACAGTGGAACAGCGCGCCCGCAGAGATCAGGGAAGCTAGCACCGCCGCAAAGTGTCGCAGAATGGCTAGAGATCATTTTACTAGAACCGATTAGATGGTGAGCATGATATGTGATAGCGCTCTTTTAAAGGTGTATATATTTTTTTAGAGTTTTTAATGTCGCTTTGTTTTAACTCGACCATGTTTTAACTATACATAGTTCAATCGTCTGTGTTCCTGTGTACTGACGCAAAGACGTAAGAGCCACGGTGAGTGGAAGTCTTTAAGAAATAAATGATGATGATGATGATGGCACCAGAGGCCGGTGTGAGGCCCTGAGACGCCGGTTGGGGCCGCCTGAGGCTGGTTTAGGGGCCCCCAAAGGTCAGTGGAGGGCCCTCAGAGGTCGATGTGGCCCATCAGTGCAGCGGTCAAAGTGGGCGCTTGACCGCCACTGAAGGGCCCTCACTCCTCAGATATCAGTGTAGGACCCTTAAAGACCGGTATGGGAGCTTAACAGCTGGTGTGGGCTTCTTGAGCCTCGTGCCGGTCGAATAAGGGCCAGGGGCCAGGGCCCATCGGTGTTGGGGGGGGGGGGGGGGCAAATTATACAATGGCCCGCCCCTCCTGATTTGACTCGGTTGGTGAAATGACCCAGATGCCCCTTCCCCCTGCGACCGCCACTGGGTTCGGTGTGTAACTGTGTAGGTGGTGGGTACCGCGAGGTTGGTCCGCCGAGTGTTTTGCACATACCTACGTGAAATCGATTACCTACTCAGCCGCGAAAAAAATGAAACACGATAAGGCGTTATAAACTGACATCATTTTGACCAGCTACTTCGTGCATGAAACGCTAATTTTCGACAGATTCCGCCTGCCGGTTTAATAACGTCGACAAACTTCTATGTTTAGTGGGCACAATGCACGCACATGGTACATACATAGCTTTGATGGCTTTGATAGAACTAATATGTGAATCTTCAATAAGGCATCAGTTTAGTAGGTATCAGTAGCATCAATTTAGGTACTTTATATGGACAACCTTGAAACGAACAACAACGAAAACGTTTGGCGCAGGTGCGTAATGTCTGTCGCCGCAGGATGGGTGCTCATGATAACCATGCGGCTTATAACTTAAAATAGAATAAATTAACCACAGCGTGCCCAATTGAAATATTAGGATCTGTCTCTTCTGACTTCTGAGGGTAAGTTTCCTCTATTTTGGTTGTGTAAGCCGTCTTGGTCTGATGAAGTAGATACCTAGGGACTCTAGGGTTGATTTAAATTTTGTCTCACGAGGAACAGCGTGGGTTTGCCGGTAGAAACTAGCCATTTGTTCACGGAATATCAACAAATTTCTCCATTTATTACTCAAATTAACAACTTCTTCAGTAACATTGCTGGGCTGCTCTATCTCTATCTTCTCTATCAATATGACACTGAGAAGTGACAGTGAGGAATGAGGATGTCTGTCACAGATGCATGAATTGCATGTTGCCATGTTTTGAGACTGAACGGCAATGAACATTTAAAGGGACCATCCCACCATAGGCGGCGGAACGGGGAGGGCACGAGGGCATCGTGCCCCCCTTTGATTTTGGCATTTTAACATTAGCTCTATGGGCGTTGCATGGAAAGAATGGGACCAAAAGTTGGCAGTGCCCTTCTTTAAATGAAGGTGTTCTGCCGCTACTGAATCCCACCTTCAAAAAGTTAATGAATTGGCATAAAGAAGATGTCCCTTGGTTCGGAAAGATCAAAAATGAATATCTACCAAATTTCACTGAAAAGTATTCATTGGTTTTCAAGATATTAGGCTTTAACTTTTGTTTACTTTTTGGGATCTCTGCTGTTCCTAGCGACTTATTTGGAAGCAGCCTCAAAGTGTGGCAGACGTTGCGCGCCTAACAGTGTATACCACCAGGTGTTAACCATGGTTTTAGTGTAAGATTTAAAAATCGTTAGATCTCCACTGACTTCAAAAATTCTAAGGGGGCATTCCAATGCATTAGCCCCTTAGAATCGGAAAACTGCAAGTTTGAAATTCCATTTCTCCAAATTAAAGCATTTTTCGATGTTGTGAGCCCCAACCCGGTATTTGCAGGCCATGGCTACCAATTTGGCTATCTCAACTCAAAACTAACTAAATGTTAAGGTGGGATGGTCACTTTAATGTACCTATGGTTCCACTGGTCATGAAAATGAAATTGATTCAAGGTTTATTATTAGCTACCTGTGATTTGTTGGTTTGGCCAGCATTTTATGTCCTCCCTAGTCCCTCTTCAAAAATGAAAAACTGAAGTTTCACCCCTCTTCACTAATGGCATGGATGATGGACATTCTCTTTTGAAAGTACTGCGTATTGGTTCAGTGGATCCATCGAGCTTAACCAAGGTAGGCCTGCTAAATTTTAGTCACCAAATTAATTGACCTATGTGATGGACGTTGATTATCGATGTCAATAGGTTTGGTGCTACTGCTTGGTGGATCCATCATCAATGCACATTGCTCGCTGCACGATGCTTTCAAGAGGGACTGAACACTCTGACTGCTAGCCCATTTTCATGATCATCTGTAAAAGTAGCTGCTCTAAAGCATAAATATTATTATTTGATAATGTGAACACCATTTGTGCCCCTTCTCTGGCAAGCAATTAATTAAAATTCTCAATATTGAAGTATTGAAGCCACATAATCAGGTTCTAAATTGCATCTCATGTCGCAGCTAAACTTCCTGTGTGCTCATGGAGTGGGTTATCACCTTGACTTCTCAGGTGCCCCTGGGGCTGCCTTATACAATGATGGTAAAATTACTATAAACACACTTTGAGTTTGTTGTACTTTTGAACAAAATCCTCACTGCATTTGCATTTTTCCATGGCATTATCCAATGATCAATAGATAACATGCATTATTCAATCACATTTCTTCATTTCATCTCTGCAACTCTAAAATATTTTATCCCCTCATGGTATCTGCAAGCTATTTGCTGCTGAAAATCTTAAGTAATTATTTTACAGATTTACAAAAGATATGAAAAGATATGAAAAAAGATATAGGTAACAAATATTTTCACTGTTGAATAAATGTCAGATGAAAACAGAAGATATGAAAAATTACAATTTGAGATACCTTGAACTGTGATGTGAGTGAATGCCCGACTGGAAAAAAAATTGCATTCACTACGCTGGAGTCTTCAGCAGTTGCGCTGCGCCGAAATTTTGGCGCAACGGTCTGTGCGCCGAAACTTATTGCGGTGTTATGCCGCGTCAAAACTACCTTTTGCGCTTAAAAAACACTATGTGGCAAAACTGTCCAGATTGCACATGGGCCTTCCCAGACGAGAGAAGAGGCCTTCCTCTGTAAAGACACATCGAATCGGTTCCTGCTCTTGCCTGACCGTACTGCTCGGACGACACGTGCGACAGGCCGCCGACGTAATCGTGCAGAGCAGCGAACTCCTGGGGCAGGGGCATCACAGGGAGCGCCTCGAAGATGGCCCGATTCAGCTACACATCGAATGTGCCGTCAAATGATGACGATCTTAACAGCTTTGGGGCCGTACGCAGCTGTCTCTTATCGCCTTGTTGTGCTGTGCCCACTGCCCAAGGCGGTTGCGCCGAAAAAAAAATTCGGCGCACGCTGGTTTACGCTGGAGTGCGCCGAAATTTTCGGCGCAGTCTGTCTATTTACGCTGAAGTGCGCCGAAAATTTTCGGCGCATGCACCGAATTACGCTGAAGTTCTCGATGAGAACGTGTATTTTTTTTTCCAGTCGGTAGTGAATGAATTCACAACTCTGCGGTGCTTAGCACTTCCTCATCTCTTCTCACCATCTCCTTTTCAGGGCCGGCTGTGGTGCAGCTGAGCACCTCTGAGCAAAGATGGCAGCTGGACCTATATCAGAGAGGAACCAGGGTGAGTTACGATAGACACGTCGTTCAAATTATTCTCACACCCCAACAGGCTTTGTCCCAATGGCATGTGAAGTCATTAGATAAAAATTCCAATTTTATCAGCACTTACTGTCTTTTTGGGTCCGGACCGTGTCGCCATTTACCTGTGATACGTTAAACGTTTGATTAAAATTTTCACCGATGAACCGGGGGCGGGCAAGGTCGGCTGGCGGGTGGGTCCGAAGTCCGAGGTGTCATTCGCTATAAGCATCGCTTAGCGGGGCGCCCGGGCCCAAAGCCACCCATTCATTCATTCGGGCTAAATTCCTAAAAAGAACCACAGGCTTTTATTCTATGTGAGCTAGAGAATTTCATAGCCGCATTCTAAGACATCTGTGTTGCCTGTTTTGCTATCCTCTGATAGAAAACAGTAGTGTATTCGACTTCTGTTCTCTTAGTAGTCAGTTCCCCTACGTCGGCTGGTGGCCGTATCTGTAACCACTGTTTCGCTGCGCCGCCGCCAGATGCCACCATCTACTGCGGCGGCCTGGACGAGAAGGTGAACGAGTCGATCCTGTGGGAGCTGTTCGTCCAGGCCGGCCCGGTCGGTGAGTAGACACGGACAGATGACAGGCAGGGGCACCGTCAGACGCCGGCGGCGGTTCACAGGCGCCGCCGTCAGTCCCACTGAGGGAGGACCTGTCTGGTCAGCCGACACATCAGCTCTGCTGAGAATGTGCTCTGGAGCAGGTGCTACCTCTGCGCGGAGTGACCGCCACCGTCTCCCGTCGGGGGGATATAAATGTCTGACTTCTGAGGGGGACACCCGCTCAGTTCTCGCTGTCCCGTCCACGATATTGTACAGTTGACTACAGAAAAATGTTCCACTTTTCTCAGGCAGTTAGTTGCCTGGAAGGGTAGGCTGTGCCGCATTACACGGGCTGAGTTTGCAAATTATAGCTTTGACCAAAGGCTCACGCTTAATTGCGTGATAAACGGCACAAGTTAGGGTTCCAGTCAAGTGTCAACTCATAGCTTCTGAGGAGTGGAACATCATTCTGTAGTCAACTCTACTTCCCCGCCAAGGGCTGACCCAGCGGGAATCACTGACCCCTCCCCGCTCTGCCCGCTCTACCCGGCCCTGCCATCCGCCGCTGTCCGTCCGCTGTGTTCTTTCTCACCCGCCTGTGCGCCGCCAGTGAACGTGCACATGCCCAAGGACCGGGTCACCATGAACCACCAGGGCTACGGCTTTGTCGAGTTCATGGGTGAGGACGACGCCGACTACGCCATCAAAGTGATGAACATGATCAAACTCTACGGGAAGCCGATACGAGTGAACAAGGTGAGGGCCGGCAGGGCGCTGCTGCCACAGGCGTTCAGTGCGACTCGTGGTCCACCTGGTGTCGTCGTTTGGGGCGCTTGGCTTAGCTATCATATGTTCTATTTGTTTATTGGGGGTTATGGGCGCGCCGACTGCGAGGTCATTTTGCGCCCATCATATGTTCCATGCGCTAGCCATGGATGCTTTGACTGTCTACTGACACTGACTTCAGGGCGCTGACTTTGTATGTACAGGGCCCAGGCAGTTCCTGTTGAGTACCACTGTTTGCCTACACTCACCAGTGACCGGTGACGGTGACTGTAGACCTCTGTCTGACCCGAACCCCTATCCCCGGCGTGCGCAGGCGTCAGCGCACCAGAAGAACCTGGACGTGGGGGCCAACATCTTCATCGGCAACCTGGACCCGGAGGTGGACGAAAAACTGCTCTACGACACATTCTCCGCCTTCGGAGTCATCCTGCAGACGCCCAAGGTGAAACACACGACCGACTCAGCTGAAACCATCCAATGTATTGCCGGTTACAATATCCACTGTTTATTATGTGTGTGGTTCTGGCCTGTCAACGACGCTTCTGCGGTCCAATGTAGCCTGCTCGGTCCCCTGTGCTCTCACCATATCAGCAGCCCTCAGTGCCCTGAGCGTACGTACGCCTTGTCTACGACCCACAGATCATGCGCGACCCGGAGACGGGAAACAGCAAGGGTTTCGCCTTCATCAACTACGCCAGTTTCGACGCGTCGGACGCCGCCATCGACGCGATGAACGGCCAGTACCTGTGCAACCGGGCCATCTCCATCTCGTACGCCTTCAAAAAGGACGCCAAGGTGGGTGACGCGCCGCCGCGCCGGCCGCTGCACGGTGGCCGGGAGGGGGGGGGGGCGCTCTGCTTTCTGGGCTAACCTGCCCGAGGGGGGGGGGGGGGGTGCGGGCTGGGAGACCTGCTCAGTTCTCTCACTAATTGGCCCGTGACGACTGACAAGTGAGCTAGACCTGCCGTTTCACTAGCAGTGTGCAATGGACTGCGTATCTTATTCCACCATCCAGCCCAACCCCTGTTCGCGTTATTTTTATCCAGCATGCGATACCTAGTGGGATGAATAAAAACCAACTTATTTGGCTTAGATAAAACCTGTTGCAATTTTCAAAAGCCGGGAGACTGGAGCAATACCTAAAAATTAAAATCATTTTTAAATAGAAATTGTTTCATCCTTCTAGATGTATTCTTATGATAAATCGTGTTTGATGGTTTTTTTCCTACATTTCCGATGAATTCGGTGCGTGGGCAAATCGATTCCGTCCAATGTATCCAGTGTGTATAAATCCAGTTGGATCTAGTGGCAGGCCAGATCTAGTTATGCGCAGTATCGACGGAGCGGCAGCTGGGGTATTCCTGAGGTGGGGCCAGACGTATCGGTTACGTGTTTGATCATCACATTCATACAGCACGCTCGTCACGCGGCGGCCGTGGGCGAGGAAATGAACAAACCGAATCCCGGCAGCGTACATTTTTCTGTTCCTCAGATGCTGTTCATTTTTTATATATAATTATGTCATAAAAATCACACAGATCTCATAGCTGGATCACATAGACCTGAATCGTGTGAAATGAAACACTGCCTTATTTCGTTCGTGTCATCTCCGTTGTCTGGGCATTACCCTGTGCCACCGGTGTGTGTCTGACGCTGTGTAGGTTCTGTGTCGCCGCCGGCGCGTCGGTCTGGACGGGGTCGCGGCTCCCGGGGCCGTCTGCCGCCCTGCCCCTGACGCTCCTCCCGTGTCCGGCAGGGAGAGCGGCACGGCTCGGCCGCCGAGCGGCTGCTGGCCGCCCAGAACCCGCTCTCACAGGCTGACCGGCCGCACCAGCTGTTCGCCGACGCGCCGCCGCCGCCGTCGGGCACGGCGCTGCCGCCGCCGCCGGCGCCGCCTCCGCCGCTGCCGAGCGCGCCGCCGCCGCCGGTGGGCCAGCCGCCGCCGCTGCCGGCGTTCAGCGGCCCGCCGCCGCTGCCGCCGCCGGGCCCGCTGCCCGGACAGCCGCCGCTGCCCAGCCAGCCGCCGCCGCTGCCGGTGCCGCCGACCGGCGGGCCGCCCGGTGAGAGCCGCCGCCGGGCCGACCCCGGGTCACCAGCGCACGGTAGGCGATCGGGCCGGTCTAGCCTCGCGAAACCTCAAAGACACTTTTTCCGAAAATTGGAAAACAACGCATACTAGTCGACAGAAAATTCATCAGAGATTACGATTAGTGCATTTGCATGGCTCAGGAGACATTTTTTCGTAGACAAAAGTATCGTTAAAGACAGCGTTCCGTAACACTTCATAAGGGGGATAATCACAGCCGATGTTTACGCTCTTTGAATATTTTGCGAAACGATGAAATTGTTAGGTGTTGAGCATCCATTTTGCATGGAAAGTGAAATTTAGATGTTTAGACGATTCCGCCATAGAAAGCAAGTAGACAAAATCAGTTCAAAATGTCTTACAATTAGGTTAACTTTTTATACTTTTTTTTTTCTACCACTGAACATTACGTTCACTGAATTAACCAAGCCCAGCAAAAAAGTTTTGCGAGGATGAACTGAAAATAATGCTGTATCGCATGCACTAAGACACTATCTATTAGGGGAGCCAGTGAAAATTTGCAGCCACTTGCAGCCCTGGCATCCAGACACTTCTTTCTTCTCAGGGTTGGCCGTGGCTTGGTGCACTTGAGCACAAGTGGTAAATTCCCCAAAGGGTGTTTTCGCGATAGCTCAAAACACCCAGGCAATAGAGAGCTGCAACTTGGCATACCTGACCTTTGATGCACGCTGGATCTTGTGACACCAACCGCACTTTCAAGTCAGGTCAGGTCACTGACCTATGACGTCATAAATGAACCTCTGCACGATCCTCAGATGTCGCAACCTTGCAACGCTCTCAGTGACAGAGTAACTTTCACAGGGAGGTGAGACTTGCAGGACTTATTGTCCTTTAGAGGTCTTACAACTTTTATACCTCAGATTTTTCCTAAATGTCACATTAAGTCAGGTTGGTCACGTGACCTCACCTTTAAGTCAATGGGGAAATATGTATGAAAACTGTTATTTTGACGCCAGGAATGATATTCGATTGTCTCAAGTACATGGAATCGTTACTTCATGCACTCCTTGCAAGATCTGATGCTGCATTTTTGCATTGTTGACCTTGCATGACGTCATTTATGACGTCACTAGGGTCATACGAGTTTCTCGTCAATAACTCCCGATCAAATTGAGCTAGAGAGTCGACAAGGTCGCCAATGGACTCTGGAAGACCTGCCGAATCGAATGATGTGCGATATGACCTCCTTCGACCAACTTCGTGATTTGAAGACCTCTGACCTGACCTTGACTCGAGGTCAACACCTTACGGTGGCCTCACCTGAACAAAAAGTATACCATTCGACGCGCCTGAGCAAGGCGAACACGACGATGTCAAAATCGTGGTTCTGCGGCCACTTTTTGCGAAGTTATTTACCAAAAACCAAACCCGCTGCTTGGGTCACGTTATGAAATGGGGCCTTGCCGGGCGATATTTACGCTGTTTCATGATATGTATAAATTGGTAGGGCATAATCTTTTGAATAAAAAGTTGGTTTGGAAGCAATTTTCTACGGAGGTACACACCATTTCAATGTCCTACCCAGCTCATATCGTCATAAATTTCGACCTACCCTCAAAAGTATTCATGCGTTATTCGAGCGGCAATTAGGCAAATTGCAAGCTCGCCACAGAGCACAAATCCTTAAAGAGATACCTAGCCCTTATTTAAAACATATGCTCATTGGATATTTAAGAAGGTTGCTCCTAAATATTGTGGTTCTAGCTTCAAAAACATGGATGTTATGAATGCCGATAGGTTTCGCGAGGCTACACCGGCCGGATCGCCCTCTGTGCAGCGGTCAGCCCGCTCCCCAGTGTCACCACCCGATCTCCAGAGCCGCCGCCGGGCCGACCCCGGGTCACCAGCGGTCAGCCCGCTCCCCGGTGTCACCATCCGATCTCCAGTGCTAACACTCACATATGTATTCTATTATTCCGTGTCGCCTTTTCCAGCTCCAAGCGATGGCGTACCATTGCCCCAATTATCATTATATGCCTGTATGTGCCTAACAATAACGCTCTTATGTTTGTGAAGCGTGTTTTTATCATTTACCGTCACTATACACATGATGCATCATCAGAAGCTTTGGTAGTGTCGGACTTGAGCCGTAGCTGTGGCTGGTTTTGTTCATAATATGGCGACTGTGTTCTCAGCTCTCACAGAGTGGAGAGGGAGGGGAGGCAGACATCTACCCCTCTCGACAGTGCTCCGGTATAAGCGTGCCCTAGCCCCCTGACCACCTATCTGACCGTGTGTTTGTGTTCTCAGCGCGCATGCCGAGCGGGCCGCCGCCGTTCGGGGGTCCCCCGCCGCGCTGGGCGCCGCCGCCGCCCGGAATGCCGCCTCCTCCGCCCGGTGAGTGCGGGTGGGGTCGGTCCAAATGGATGGTGGGCGTTCAGTGCTTCATTGGCATAGCGTAAATCAAGTCAGCTTAGGTATATTCTCTGTTTGAAATATCGCGTGTCTCGTATCGTGTAGCAGGCAACAAACGATTGTGAGCATTATGTTCTGCAGGCTTATATTATGTGATCAAACTTGTTTTGTCCCTCCGGAGCTGCAATGCTTGTCGCCGATCACCAGCCTGACAATGTCACCATACGCTAGTCCCCACGGCGCCGATGGTGTTCTGGGCCGTGTGGCCGAGTATGACGGGTGTGTGCTCTGTCGCAGGGTCGCGGCCGCCGCCGCCCGGCTGGAGACCACCGCCGCCCGGCATGGGCCGGCCGCCGATGCCGCCGCGGCCTCCGTTCCCCCCGCGCGGCCCGCCCGGTATGGGGCCGCCGCCGCCGCCGCCGCGCGGCTGGAACCCGCCGCCGCCGCCCCCGCCCCGGCCGATGCGGCCGCCCCCGCCGCCGCCTTCGATGGACCAGCCGCCGCCGCCGCCCCCGCCACCGCCCTCGTCGTGAGGTGGCTGCCGCGGCGGGGTCCCGCCCCTGCGGCCATCACCTTGTGCTGATCGCGGACAAACTGTGCTACCGAAGCACATCAGTGGGCGCGTGTGCCCCTGTCTGATCGGCTCCGACCCGGTGGGTCACCGCAGCCCGTGTGTGACCGACGTCCCCATCTCTCAGAGACTGTCTGCGCCCCCTCATCATCCTCAAACGCCATGCGTCGGTTCCGGGGCTGTATTGTCTCTGGGTTCGCTGTGGTGATTAATACAGTACTGCTGTGGACACCGAGAACTGCGTCTACAGGAGAGGACGCGGGAGACCCGCGCCGGGGTGTGGATTGGTCGGTAACGGGACACGCCTGCCTCAGTGGACAACCGGCGAGGTCGGCGGACAACCGGACAGTCTGACGGACAGAGCCGCCCCGGGTCGGCTCGGCAGAGCTACCACACGCGCAATGGCACAGAGTAAACGAGCATTACCTCAAAAACACAGAGAAGGCACTGTCGTAGATAATGCGTAAAGGCATCAGAAAACAGTTACGCAGCTGTCAAACGCACTTTTTTCGGGCCGGGTGACGTCCAACGCAAGCTTAAAAACAATAGATACAACCCATGATTATCTACGTCTACTCAGATGAAATAAAAGTGCTATTATTGTTCTACCAGGTCCCCAAACGCACACGACAAACAATAATTCATATCCGAATCTCGCAGTGTACCGGCCCAATATATCACAACCCCTCGAGCCGAGAGGACCGGCGGCCCTCCCGGCCAATCACATGGGTATCAGACCCGACAACCCCGCGCACAGGACACAGCGACACTTGATCTAGCCCCACCAGCGGCGCTTCTGAGTAAACTTGGCACAGCCGGTCCGGCCGGACGCAGGCACCGAGGCTTCCCGGGCTGAAGCCGTCCGTGGGCCGGTGGCTGAACTGCGCCGACCAGACCGGGAGAACACACGCTAATTACATTCACTGGAAACCCAGAAACGTGACCGTCCGACACGTAAACATCCCAGTTAGGTACAGTATGAACTGAGTTTCGTGTTATTGAACTACGTGGCCGAACTTCTTCCGAGAGAAATCTTCGAATGGACCGCCAGACAGACAGTTCACAGTAACCAGATTGCCGTAAAGAGCTGCGACACAGCCTTCTCCAGTCGCCACAGTTCATAATCACTTCGCCACGGTCCAGGCCGCGCGAACCAGACGCCACCGTCGATTGCACGATTCCGACGGCCGCCGACTGTGTCCCGGAGCAGAGTGTTGGGAGGCGGCGCCGGGGTCCGCGCTCAGTGGCCGGTCAGGTCCCGCTGACTGGCGCTCAGTGGCTGGTCGGAGGCCGCGTCTGACACTCGCACACGATGGCCCGCCGCCCCGCCGGGGTCAGGCACGAAGGCCGGTCACGGGACGAGGTCAGAGACGAGGGCCGGTCGCGGGCCGGGGTCCCACGCGGCGGTCGGTCGCGGGCCAGGGTCCGTCAGTCGGAGCCGCTGCCGGCCGCCGTGCCCGTACCGAACTCACGGCTCAGGGTGGCCAGGTCCCTGCCGGACACAGGAGGTCACGGCGGGGGTCAGCGGGTCTGTATTAGGGGAGGGCCGGTCAGTGCAGGGGGACGGGGTCAGCTGGTCTGTGGCTGTGCTGGGGATGGTCAGCTGGTCTGTGATGGAGGTCAGTTGGTCTGTTGGGGACGGGAGGGAGGCAGCAGCTGACCGACCTCAGACCGGGGACAGTCTGTAGGTCGGCTGTGTCGCTCCCCCTCCCCCCCCCCCCTACCATCCGCGCGCCGCGCCACTGCCGCCGACCGGCGCGCCGTGCAGTCCCAGGATGATCAATACCTCTCGTTTGCCTCAGAAGTTCATCTGCGGCCGGTGGCCAACAAAAAAGTCGCCGCGTCAGCGCTCCAAGTGCAACGCTGCGGTTGGATGGATGTTTTGATTAGTGTGTCGCCCCCCCCCCCCCTGCGCTCGTATTGAAAACGCCAGCAGCAGGAACGGGCTTCTACTGTATGCAAGGCGACAGCACATAACTACATTGCTAATATCCAGCCACAGTCATGGTACTTTTATCTGATAATACAGTCCATGGTCTGCTGGAGTCACAAATTTCACACTTTTGCTGAAACAAAACACACATAATGTGCCAAAATTGGCAAGGATATGCATGCGCTTTCTTTTCTCAACGGAGGAAACAAATAATAATAATAAAAAAAATAGGTTGCATCAACACTACTGGCAGGGCAAGAATGAAATAGAGGTTGAAAACTAATGGCAAAGCCCGACATCTCCAGCGAGTAAAAGCAGTCCACCGACAGTATTCAGCTACACACCTATCCGTGCTTCTATCCTCAGGATACTGAAATCCTTCTCCTCCACGCCACAACCCCCCTCCGGGCTGGACAGGCAACTTTATCTCATGCGGGCTGCTCCCTTGGAGCGGCACCGCTGCTCCCGAGGGAGCGCACCCCGTAGCCGGGTGCAGTGAGTGCCTTGGGGCTGGGTGGCCTGTCCTCTGGGCGGGCTCAGCCCCGGCGACTCACTAGGGTGCCTGCCCAGACCAATGTCTCCCCCTAATTCCTATCATCCTTCCGGCTCTGCAATGGTCTTGTCGACCGAAAGGGCCTAACCCAACAAAACAAACAAACAAAAAACAAAAGTATTCAGCTGGTTTAAAGCGTCATCACAGTCATCAGCATATTGACGTTTGATTGCAGCAGGAAAGACGGGCTATAATTAATCTGATAACGAGACCCCGGTTAAGGCCGGCGCTCACTATCGTAATTGTTTGGACCGTCAGTAGCGCTAAACCCGGCCCCAAATTCCAACTGAGCAATTAACTGAGCCATCAGTGAGCGTTTGCAGGCTCAATTATGAAAGTCAGCACTCGGCAGTCGTCACCGAAGGGATGCTTCACAAATCAAAGACCGATAATTGGCGTCTGACGCTCGTACACAACGTGCCAACGCCAGGAACATTGCGCACGAGTCAACGTCGCTATGACTGACATGTTGACATGAGCAATGGAACATCGAATGCATTTCACATTATGATACATATTTAACATCTTACATAAGCATATTAAGCACGGCCGCATTATCCTGTCAATAGCTTCTAGACTAAATATCAAAACAAACAAACTGGGTATACGAGTATAGTGGTGTCAATCGGAACTTGAATCTTCGGAATTCCGATTTTGTCCAATGTCCAATTCGGAATTCGGTTGGACAATGGCAGCAGGCTTTGGACAACTTTGGACAATCGCTTGCTACACCTCAACATTTTTTAAAAGTAGTCGTGTTTAACATTGATTGGCTATTAGAAAGCTCAGCTTTCGATATGATTAACACTTTTGAGCTTGTAACGGTACATGAAAAGCAAATTAAATAACAGTGTTGAGTGTAAACTATTGCGTAGGTGTCGGACATCTTTGGACAAATGGCTGGCTTGGACATTTTTGGACGGACAATCGACGCAAGCATTGGACATTGGACGGACTTTGGACATATATACGTTTTCTGAAATTGACACCTGACTGGTATTTACTAAAGGGAGCCGTAAAACCTCCACCTCAATGTCAGCAGAACTGGCAGTTGCTGCCTGCGGTAAACTGATAAATTGCTGCGAGACTGCTGGAGGCAGAATATCTAACCGACCACGGTGACAGTATTGGCGGTAAGCGCTGTTGAGTTTTAGCAAATTGTTTCTCGTCGCCTGCTCAGCTGAACAAATGGGTACCCGCGCGGTCCACCGCCGCACGCAGACTGCTGCCGCTTTAGTCACCAAACGGCTCTCGAATCCAATGGAGCACTCTAAACTCTGAGCCCGCCATGCATGATGATGGCCGCCTTTTGACTGGGCGCCGGCGGCCAGCCGCTTCCGACTGCTGGAGAGCGTCTATGGGACGCCGGCCGTGGGCTACAGACGGGCCCATTGCCGACATCTAACGGCGCCCTGCCTCATTGTCAGTCATCGCCGCAGGGCCGGCACACTCCGCCCCGGCCGGGTCGGAGGGGTCAGCAGTCTGGACAGGGCCGCCACCGCGGCAGTGTGAAACCTCCCGACTCCATTCAGCACCCGGCCAGACGGGACGGTTTTGTCAGAGCATACTCTGAGACACTGACTGGAACGGGATACGGTGTCCGGGACACTGTCTTCTAGTTAATCTTCCTATCAAATACCGGAGCACGACGCCGGCAGCATTGAACGGGCTATCGCCCGCTCCTGGCGTGCTAATATAAGGTTGGTCCGACTGCCGGTTCCCAAACGGACGTGCCGCGCCGCCGCGACCGGCGCCCTCCGGTACACCTGATGGGTGCTGTACACTGCAGTTTAGAGTTCAGCAGGCGCGCAGTTACGGCGGCTGGCTGTAGCCACACCTCAGCGCACCCGGTAAACGCTCGGTTCGAGTCTGAAGCAGTTTGGATGCGTGCCATCCAACTTATATCGTATCACTATTACTTGGTGAATGAAAATGAGTTAAAAATCACTGACGAACAGACGATATGTTGTGTTCTTAGATACGTCTACGCGCAATGCGAGAAACATTCCTATGAACGTCTTCGACGGTGACAAGCGTACTTCCATCCACCTACGTATAAATACCGGAACATGAGGTGAAAGCGAATTCAAACTGACCACCGGTAACATATATTATGATACGGGCACCGGAACAGAACAATTATATAGGTATGCTCACTTCAGCGATAAACAAATAAACTTAAAGCAATACTGCAAAACCACGAATATGAAGCGCATAAATTGCAGTAAGTGCTAGTTAAATGACCCAAACGGTTTTTCACCCTTCTTAGCCAAATAATCACGACCCTTAGAACAGTGCCGTGCTCCTACACAGATCGCTTCCTTTGATTACGGAGCGAGCGAAGCGAGCGGAGTCTTTCCTTAGATTAACGGAAATTTCTGAGTATGAGCGGCCGGCCGTGCGGACGCTTTTGCGAGGCTTATCCCTCGCATGTGTAGGGGGGGGGGGGGTCGGATGGACCCCCCCCCCCATGGTTTTTCGCGAATAACTCGCGTAAAAAGCGGCCGATCGCGACGAAACTTTCAGTACCTACCCTCTCATTGATCAATTTTACACCTACCCTGAAAATTTCATGACCCTGACCCAAATGACCTTTGACCTGTGACCTCTTTTCCGAGACCATGTTTGGCCGGAATCGCGATTCCGCGTATGTCGGCTCGCATTAGCCGCGCGTTTGCAAGCTTTTCGTGGTTTCAAACGTTCAAACATGTGATTTGATGTTGCTCCCATGCATTAGAATGGGTGTCAAGGTCACCTGAAGGTCAGGTCAGGTCATTGACCTTTGGTGACCTCGGGTGACCTCGGTTCACTTTTTCGAGTTTTACATGTTTCTAGGCTAGTTTTTGGAGCTGAATTCGAATTTAGCAACCATTTGAACATTTACGAAGTAGTTTTGGTGCCTTCGTAACATGTTACGAAGCTGTCAGAGGCGGTTGACACGTACTACGAATACCCGTCACAGCCCCTACTGGTTGACCTGACCTGACCTGACCCGACCTGGTCTAAATGCTTAAAGACATCATCTGTGATCAAAACTAACACGATATTCGTGATCAGCACCCCGAAAAACCCCTTAGCCGCCACACTTTACGACTTTCTAATAGGTCCCGATTTTCCCGACTTTGGGTCATTGACCTGACCTGGAAGGTCAACCAATGACCTAGGACCTTAAAATTGGGTATCATCGGCTTCCTCTCGTCACGGGCAACACGCTCGTTTTTTCCGCGAAGCTCTAGCTCGATCAGGGGCGAAACGGCAAGGGGGGGGGGGTCCAACCGACCCCCCCCCCCTACACATTAGAAGCTGGCAAACGCCGCACACATGCGAGGGTTATATCTCAGCAACCACTTGACCGATTTACATGCGGTAATTTTTTTAGGGTAGCTTCATTCCTTCTACCAAGTATTGGACTATTCCCGATGCATGTGGGTGACCCCTTATGCACGTGCCACGTGCAAAACGAAGAGGTGTCAGTTTTGTAATTGTTGCAATATCTCGGTAACTACTTGGCCGATTGCGCTCAAAGTTGGCATGTAGGTAGGCACCCACTAGGCACTGCATATCCATGTGCCAGAGTTGGGGTGCTGCTGCACGTGCGCACGTGCAGGGGTCGATTCCAGATCTCGAGAACGGCTGGACCGATTGCGCTCAAATTTGGTACACGGTTACGGAGCAGCTAGTAGGGTGCCGTGCACAAGTCAGTTGGGACCCATTTTGCACGTGCGCATGCGTGCAGAGTGCCGCTTCCAGATCTCGAGAACGGCTGGGCTAATTGTGCTCAAATTTGGCACATCGCTAGAGACCGGTAAGTAGGGTGCCGTGCACAAGTCAGTTGGAGGTATATCCTCGCAATTTCGCACGTGCAAGGCCCACCCTCTCGCTCGCTCCGTTAGTAAAGGGCGTTATACTGGTTTAAGAACAGTTACACGCGTGTCTGGGTGGCCTCACCTGGAGTCGACGGCCGCGTAGAGGTCGGCGCGGCCGATGGCGGCTAGCGTCATGCGCAGCATGGACCAGATACTCTGCGACATGACCTGGTCGGAGCGGCGGCCACTGACGCCGCGGCTGCTCGCCTGGTGCTCCAGCGCCGACAGAAAGTGCTCCACCGCCTCACTGGCGGCGCCGGCGGGCGGCGGGGCGTCAGTGGACGGTACACAACGGCAGGATGTCGGCGGGGCGTCAGCGGACGGTACACAACGGCAGGATGTCGGCGGGGCGTCAGTGGACGGTACACAACGGCAGGATGTCGGCGGGGCGTCAGCGGACGGTACACAACGGCAGGATGTCGGCGGGGCGTCAGCGGACGGTACACAATGGCAGGATGGCGGCGGGGCGTCAGCGGACGGTACACAACGGCAGGATGGCGGCGGGGCGTCAGTGGACGGTACACAACGGCGGGATGTCGGCGGGGCGTCAGTGGACGGTACACAACGGCAGGATGTCGGCGGGGCGTCAGTGGACGGTACACAACGGCGGGATGTCGGCGGGGCGTCAGCGGACGGTACACAACGGCAGGATGGCGGCGGGGCGTCAGCGGACGGTACACAACGGCAGGATGTCGGCGGGGCGTCAGCGGACGGTACACAACGGCGGGATGTCGGCGGGGCGTCAGCGGACGGTACACAACGGCAGGATGTCGGCGGGACGTCAGCGGACGGTACACAACGACAGGATGGCGGCGGGGCGTCAGCGGACGGTACACAACGGCAGGATGTCGGCGGGCGTCAGCGGACGGTACACAACGGCAGGATGTCGGCGGGGCGTCAGCGGACGGTACACAACGGCAGGATGTCGGCGGGGCGTCAGCGGACGGTACACAACGGCAGGATGTCGGCGGGGCGTCAGCGGACGGTACACAATGGCAGGATGGCGGCGGGGCGTCAGCGGACGGCACACAACGGCAGGATGTCGGCGGAGCGTCAGCGGACGGTACACAACGGCAGGATGTCGGCGGGGCGTCAGCGGACGGTACACAACGGCAGGATGTCGGCGGGCGGCAGCGGACGGTACACAACGGCAGGATGTCGGCGGGGCGTCAGCGGACGGTACACAACGGCAGGATATCGGCGGGGCAGCAGGGCGTCACATAACGGCAGGTCACGTCACACAATGGCACATCGCGTCAGCAGCGTCACACGCCGGCGTCACGGCACAGCGTCAGCAGACGTCACAATGTCAAACGCCGTCACACTTCGTCACACCTGACTCCTCACGCCCCGCACAAACTCAAACCGAGAACGAACACCCACTATGAGTACAGACCCTACCAGACGAATCTGTCAGTTCCCTGCTCCTATACCGTGAACACCCGCGCGTCATACAATACTATCACTCGCCCCAACCCTGTGACAGCCGGTGCCGTCAGTGTCTCCAGTCCCCCCCCCCCCCCCCCCACCGGCCCGGCCCGGCCCGGCCCGCGCCGCCGGACGCCGGGGGTCGCTCACCGGTTGGCGTTCAGGCTGCGGCAGCTGATGCCCAGGTTGAAGCGCGCCCGGATGAAGCCCGGTGAGAGCTGCAGCGCGCGACTGTACGCCGACACCGCCTCCTCGGGCTTGTTACCGTTGGCCAGCGTGGCGCCCAGCTTGTTCCATAGCTGAGCGTTCTGCAGGCGGGAGGAGACGAGTGAGTGGTGAGACATCACACGGCGCGGCGGGAGGAGACTAGTGAGCAGTGAGACATCACACGGCGCGGCGGGAGGAGACGAGTGAGCGGTGAGACATCACACGGCCGGCGGGAGGAGACGAGTGAGCAGTGAGACATCACACGGCCGGCGGGAGGAGACGAGTGAGCGGTGAAACATCACACGGCCGGCGGGAGGAGACGAGTGAGCGGTGAAACATCACACGGCGCGGCGGGAGGAGACTAGTGAGCAGTGAGACATCACACGGCGCGGCGGGAGGAGACGAGTGAGCGGTGAAACATCACACGGCCGGCGGGAGGAGACTAGTGAGCAGTGAGACATCACACGGCGCGGCGGGAGGAGACGAGTGAGCGGTGAAACATCACACGGCCGGCGGGAGGAGACGAGTGAGCGGTGAAACATCACACGGCGCGGCGGGAGGAGACTAGTGAGCAGTGAGACATCACACGGCCGGCGGGAGGAGACGAGTGAGCGGTGAAACATCACACGGCCGGCGGGAGGAGACGAGTGAGCGGTGAGACATCACACGGCCGGCGGGAGGAGACGAGTGAGCGGTGAAACATCACACGGCCGGCGGGAGGAGACGAGTGAGCGGTGAGACATCACACGGCGCGGCGGGAGGAGACGAGTGAGCGGTGAAACATCACACGGCCGGCGGGAGGAGACGAGTGAGCGGTGAAACATCACACGGCGCGGCGGGAGGAGACTAGTGAGCAGTGAGACATCACACGGCCGGCGGGAGGAGACGAGTGAGCGGTGAAACATCACACGGCCGGCGGGAGGAGACGAGTGAGCGGTGAAACATCACACGGCGCGGCGGGAGGAGACGAGTGAGCGGCGAGACATCACACGGCGCGGCGGGAGGAGACGAGTGAGCGGTGAGACATCACACGGCGCGGCGGGAGGAGACGAGTGAGCGGCGAGACATCACACGGCCGGCGGGAGGAGACGAGTGAGCGGTGAAACATCACACGGCGCGGCGGGAGGAGACGAGTGAGCGGTGAAACATCACACGGCGCGGCGGGAGGAGACGAGTGAGCGGTGAGACATCACACGGCCGGCGGGAGGAGACGAGTGAGCGGTGAAACATCACACGGCGCGGCGGGAGGAGACTAGTGAGCGGTGAGACATCACACGGCCTCCGGAATTGTTGAAGACTAAGAAACTCGACACATTTCCTGGCCATTGTCGATGACCAATCCAGCCCTCAGGCGTCCAGAATTATGACCAATGATCAGTTCTTAATTACCGATACCGTCACCGGCCAACCCTTTCGGTGGAGCTTTCTTGGTTAAATGTCAGCGGCCCTAGTCTTATTTGTGACGCTGCGGCCTGCCGGCTGTGCTGCGCCCTGGGAGGGGATTGTTCACCAGCTCTGCGGTGGATGTTTAGCAGCCGACTCAGCCTCATGCCTCAGCCGCCAACTGCCGTAAGATACGCTAGTGAAGGCGCCATGTCACCTAAGAATGATGTGCTAATGCAAGACGCTGAATGTCTCACGTATTCCAATGCCTACCTATCTGTCGCATATAACCAAGATGACCGCCCAGAAAACAAACAATTTAACAATAACTACATTCGAAAGGGATTGCGCCAGATTCTGTCAGAGCTTAGTAGCTTGAAAGCAAGCTGAAAGTAATTAGAGATGCGGCTCATCCCTACTAGGAAACCAAGCATAGAGCATGCACAAACATATCCCTGAAAGATTTTTTTCCACACCGCATCACGCTATCATTATGGCCAATGCTTCAGCGAAACCATGATAATCCACTTCTTTTGCAAAAGTTTGCATTTGATGATAATTGAATGCAGGGAACTGCCTCAGATGTTTATACCAGTACCAAGAACCATCTCTCCCCCTCCCTTTGCCTCTGTGTGTGCAGAAACCGAGCACCTCCGGCTGGACACTGAGGGCGGCACTGAAACAGCCGACGGCGGCTGAACGACGACTCACCTCCGGCTTAACGACTCACCCCCCGCTGAACTTCGACTCACCTCCGGCTGAACTGCGGCTCACCTCCGGCTGACCGACGACTCACCTCCGGCTGAACTGCGGCTCACCTCCGGCTGAACTGCGACTCACCTCCGGCTGAAGTGCGACTCACCTCCGGCTGAACTGCGGCTCACCCCCCGCTGAACTTCGACTCACCTCCGGCTGAACTGCGGCTCACCTCCGGCTGAACTTCGACTCACCTCCGGCTGAACTGCGGCTCACCTCCGGTTGGACACTGAGGGCGGCGCTGAAGCAGTCGACGGCTCGCTCGTAGTCGCCGGCCATATGTAGCAGCACGCCCAGGCCGCACTGGACGTCCGCGTCGGGGTCGGAGGGCCGCAGCCGTGCCGCCTCCAGAAACTCGGCCTGCACCGCGCCGTGCGTGTCACTGGGGGGAGCCAAGGGGCAGGGGAGTCAGTACCGGCGGCCCGTAGGTGTCAATGGGGAGGGGGAAGGGAACAGGGGGGGGGGACAGTACCGCACCGCGTGTGTCATTGGCGGGACGGGGGGAGGAAGGAGGGAGTCAGTACCGCACCGCGCGTGTCATTGGCGGGACGGGGGGGAGGGAGTCAGTACTGCGCCATGTGTGTCATTGGGAGGGACGGGGGGAGGGAGTCAGTACCGCACCGTGTGTGTCATTGGGAGGGACGGGGGGAGGGAGTCAGTACTGCGCCATGTGTGTCATTGGCGGGACGGGGGGAGGGAGTCAGTACCGCACCGTGTGTGTCACTGGGAGGGGCGGGGGGAGGGAGTCAGTACTGCGCCATGTGTGTCATTGGGAGGGACGGGGGAGGGAGTCAGTACTGCGCCATGTGTGTCATTGGGAGGGACGGGGGGAGGGAGTCAGTACCGCACCGTGTGTGTCATTGGGAGGGACGGGGGGAGGGAGTCAGTACTGCGCCATGTGTGTCATTGGGAGGGACGGGGGGAGGGAGTCAGTACTGCGCCATGTGTGTCATTGGGAGGGACGGGGGGAGGGAGTCAGTACTGCGCCATGTGTGTCATTGGGAGGGGGATGGGGGTCAGGGGCTGCCCGTGTAACATGATTTTTGTTTTCTAAATGAAGCCGGTCATGTTCTAAAGTTAGGAGACAACAGCGCTACGCTGAACTGTTTCCGGGACATTGGCGAGAAACACAGCCGGCGGGTGGGCTCTGTCCCTAGCCCCGCCAGTGAGCGGCCAAATAGCTGGGCCACCTCACGTAACGGTACTGCACCGGGCTCCCAAGGATCAGACCATAAAGGCTGCAGCTATAGGATGGCAGCAGCTGACATTAATTCGAAATGATACCTTCCCAGCATTGAATAGCACTAAAAACGTGGAAACTATTTCCAAATATTGTTCAGACGGGGCAGCAGTATTAAAGCCGGGGTTCGATTGTTGTGAGCTATTTCCGGCATTCAAACCACGGCAGCGACATATGAGAGCTCTCAATAGACCATACACAGCTAATACGACGGAGGCATCGTTGACCGATATTTCTGCCTCTGAAAGCGGAGCTGGCTCGGGTCGTATGGCGGCCAGGCGTGTGCTCGGGCCGGGCCGATTGTGTTCCGGGAGAGGCGCCCCCGAACCGGCGCGTCGGTGATAGCTCCAGTAGGTACCTATCCCTGACAACAGCACGTGGCGGCCGGTCCCCGGGAATCGCCGGCGCCGGCTCCGGGAACGCTGAGAGGATACGAGCGCTCCGCTGAGCTATTGCTGGGCCGGCCAGGAGAGAATATGTAGGAGTGAACACGGTACATACAAATCGGGTGCACAGCTGTACACAGCAGACTGAATCAGCATAGAGACCGTGTAACGCTGGCACATGCCGCAAACAGGGAGAACACGGCAAAATAAACTATCCACAAGCTAATCAGTTATCATCGTGCGGTCTACTTGCTAACACATCAGGATGCCAAAGACTTAGGGTCTGTTCCAGTCGCACTTCCTAACGCCTCTAAACTCCTCCAAGAGCAAAATAGAGGAGGTTGGAGGCGGAGCAGGGCCTCCTTGGCTTTAAAGGGGCTAGAATTGCCACTGGAACAGGGAAGCAATCTTGGAGGAGTTTAGAGGTGTTAGGAAGTGCGACTGGAACAGACCCTTAGACGAAACTGCTCCAAGATCATAGTACTTACTACGCATAAAGGACACGCGATGAATATACACACGTTATATGATGATTTGCAAACGAGTGCCTTCAGCAGTCGGTACATACGAGACTGCACAGTGAACACGGTGCAAGTGCAAACGACCCTCATCGTTCGGTACACGCTGGCGACGGTCCCCGCACTAAGCACACGCCGCCACCGCCGTGTCGGCGAGACCGGCCCACGGAACACGACTGCCTCTATCTCCCATACCACAGCGACAAGGAAGGTGCCGGGACGGCGGTCCTGGGCCGATCGCACTCACCCGCCGAGCAGCGACGGCTGGAACACGGCCGACGGGTGGGTGGCCGACGTGTCCACCTTCACCAGGTGCTTGTACTCGGAGTGGTGGCGCAGCCACTCCTGCAGGCCGGCCGAGCGGCGCCGTCAGAGATGGGAGGGTCAGCGACACCCGGAGCTCGCGGGGACACACTACGACTTCACACAGACAGCTACAAGTGTACGGTTATACCCTACCCCAGACGTATAAGGAAGTAACCGAGGGTTTGTGTTCAATAGTAAAAAACACTATTCGTTAAAATTGTGTTTAATAAAAACTGAGTTCCCGGACAATTTTGTAAAAGTAGCCAATAGGCATACTGGGATAGCAATTATGGAAGCGCCTAGGACACAGACAAGAAGCTAGCTACCATACCATCGCAACTGATGAATAGCCTCGGATGCCATAGATAGATCTAATGTAACGTAGATATCTCAGGGGCTACAAAGGAGCACCCTGTGTTCGTATATCACTGTCTGCAGGGCTCGCTGCGGCCGCCGCTGGGACACCTTGTGCCAGTGACTGTTACAGGGCCCGCTGCAGACGCCGGTACTGACCCGAAGCGCGGCGCACGCCTGCAGCGGGTACGACTAGTGTAATACTGGTGTAATACTGGTGTAAAACTGACCCGGAGCGCGGCGCACGCCTGTAGCGGGTACGTCTGGTGTAATACTGGTGTAATACTGACCCGGAGCGCGGCGCACGCCTGCAGCGGATAGGACTGGTGTCATAATGGTGTAATACTGGTGTACTACTGACGCGGCGCACGCCTGCAGCGAGTACGACTGGTGTAATACTGGTGTAATACTGGTGTACTACTGACCCGGAGCGCGGCGCACGCCTGCAGCGGGTACGACTGGTGTAATACTGGTGTAATACTGGTGTACTACTGGTGTAACACTGACCCGGAGCGCGGCGCAAGCCTGCAGCGGGTACGACTCGTTGGTGTAGGAGGCGGCCAGAGCCATGTAGGCGCGCAGACAGCCCGGGTCCAGCTCGATACACCTCCGCAGTGCCGTGATGGCCGCCGGGTCCTGACGGAGAACAGACCAGCACAGGGGTCAGCAGGGTCGGAGGGAGGGAGGGGTCAGTGGGGTCAGCATGGGCGGGGAGGGGTCAGCGGGGTCAGAGGGGCCGGAGGGGTCAGAGGAGCGGGAGGGTCTGATGGGTCAGCAGGGGTCACAGGGGTCGGAATATTGGAGAACGGGGGACGGTGAAGTAACCAGTCAGACGTGACCCATCAGGGGCCGATGACAATGCGACTTATCCATCATAAAACACGGGAAATTAAACCTGACAGCATACACCAAATCAAAGCAGCAAGATTACCAATGTTTGCCACATGAGAGAAACGGATGTGAAAGCGTATTTTGTCCGCTGATAGGGCCAACAGAACGATGATGATAAGACATGAATAATGTAAGCCTCACTAGCGACCTTGTGGAAAAGTCAGCGGCAACAGCATACAAGTGAACTCATTCCCTGTGCTTGTTCATATTTTAGAAGCCGTTGGCTTTATGAGACCACGTTCGCTCGAGAACGGCCATTGAGGAGACGATTCATTGGCCATAAAGCTCGCCGGGCCAGGGCACCCTTATCTGGCGGAAGACATGTCCGACCGGGTCCGACCAGTCGCCACTGACAGGGACCGGGGAGGGACGCCTACTCAGGGCCCGGGGAGGGACGCCTACTCGGGGACCGCCGCCGGCTTCCGGCTCCACTGACAGACCTCCGGAGAATGGCGACACCAAGGCAAGGCAACGAAATACGGACATTTCATCGCACATCGCACGTACGTACTGTCAATGACACTGAGTGACATCGTTTGACTTTGGCTAATGAGTTCATCTGGTTCATTTTACTTCATTTGAAACAGTCAGTTTTCTAAGCACATGCTAGCGATATACATTGGGCTCTACAGAGAGAAGTTTCGCAAAGCGCATTCAACATGCGGTGGCAATACTTGAACTTTCCAAAGCTGTGCAGAACTAAACCTGGTGGCGATTGGAGAGGCAGTCACTGCTAAGGGTCCTTCGACTGGTTTTACCGCTCACCCGTCTCCGTCCCTCCTATCCCGAACGGGCAGAGAGTAAACCATTCGCCTCCCTCTCTCTCTCTCTCTCTCTCTCTCTCTCTCTCTCTCTCTCTCTCTCTCTCTCTCTCTCTCCCTCTCTCCCCTGCCCACCTGTTCGTTTTCGGCCAGGCTGGTGCCGAGCAGCTGCCAGGCCAGCGGCGACTCCGGCTCGCGCTGAGCGGCCGCCTCGAAGCAGAGCACGGCGCCGGGCAGGTCGCCGGCCGCCAGCCGCCGCTGTCCCTCCGCCAGCGGGTCCGGGTCGTCACGGAAACGGTTGTCCGTGTCAAACTGGTACTCCTGTGCACAGGGACAGGGCGGGTCAGACGGGCAGGGGAGAGGGACTGAAGGCAGGGCACGAGGCGGGTTACACGCTGGGGAAGATATCGCGGCGGTGCGGGTCAAACGCTGAGGGTACCGGGGCGGGGCACACGCTGAGGGGAGGGTACCGGGGCGGGGCGAGGGACGGTCAGTCGGTGAGGGTACTGTCTGGAGATCGGGGCGGGTCAGAGGATAATAAACTGCAGCGGTTGAGTCCCGCCACTCGCTGAGCCGGGGCCGGGCCGCCGAGACACGGACAGAACTCGACGGCCGATCGGTAAATCGGGTGTCCGAGGCGACAACGGCGCCCATTTATTACCTGTGTGTCCAGCGTCAATAGCCGGTAACAACCACGCGGTTTAGTGGCTCAGTGGATAAAGTGACCTCCGATCATTTATCGGTGGACGAGAGTTCGAGACTGAGAGGAGGCACGTCGATTGACCAATGGAGTTCCAAGCCAGCTGCCAGCTGGGGAGAGGCCTGCGCTCGACTAGAAATGACCGTCCCGTTGTCTAAAACGCAGTGGGTGTAACTTTTCATTAAAGCTGACGTATTCAGCGCAGCAATGTCGTGCTGTGGGTCCGTGGTGTCACACAGCGAGGGGTGAGGTGGGTCCGTGGTGTCACACAGCGATATCGTACTGTGGGTCCGTGGTGTCACACAGCAATGTCGTGAGGTGGTTCCGTGGTGTCACACAGCGATGTAGTGAGGTGGTTTCGTGGTGTCACACAGCAATGTCCTAAGGTGGTATCGTGGTGTCACACAGCAATGTCGAGCTGTGGGTCCGTGGTGTCACACAGCGAGGGGTGAGGTGGGTCCGTGGTGTCACACAGCGATATCGTACTGTGGGTCCGTGGTGTCACACAGCAATGTCGTGAGGTGGTTCCGTGGTGTCACACAGCGAGGGGTGAGGTGGGTCCGTGGTGTCACACAGCAATGTCGTGAGGTGGTTCCGTGGTGTCACACAGCGATGTAGTGAGGTGGTTTCGTGGTGTCACACAGCAATGTCCTAAGGTGGTATCGTGGTGTCACACAGCAATGTCGAGCTGTGGGTCCGTGGTGTCACACAGCCATGTCATGAGGTGGGTCCGTGGTGTCACACAGCAATGTCGTGCTGTGGGTTCGTGGTGTCACACAGCAATATCGTGCTGTGGTTCCGTGGTGTAATAACCGCACAACGGCTGGACCGATTATTTGACTTTTTCCCATTTGATTTTCATCATTTTGACTTTTTTGCCGTTTTTTTTTTCACTTTTTGTCTTTTTGACTTTTTGCATTTTAGACTTTTGGACGCTTTGACTTTTTGCCATTTGACTTTTTGACTTTGAGCGTGATGGGGTCGTGTCGGGTCGGGTCGTGTCGGGCCGGGTCGCGCATACTCAGATTTTTGCCTTAAACACGAAAGAACTCGCTCGCTCGCTGCGCTCGCTCGCTCGTAATTAAAGGAAGACTGCCACCTTCAAAAAGTTTTCTCAGATCGGCCTATCATTTATTCCCTGGACAAAACAAAATTTTAGAATTCACCTGACAAAGTATCATCACGTGAATCGCGAAAAAAATTGTCGATTATCATACAATTATCAATCGGTTAATGTCTAGCGACAATGTTTACACATCACTAGACTTCAAGGCAGGGATGCGGAGCCGGAGCCGGAGTCGGAGCCGGAGCCGCCGGAGCCGGCATATTTTGCCCGGAGCCGGAGCCGGAGCCGGAGCCGTGAAACAATATAGCCCGGAGCCGGAGCCGGAGCCGGAGCCGCCAAAAAAGGGGGCGACTCCGGCTCCTTTTTATTTTTTGAAGAGGAAAAAAATAATTGACCTATTTCGGATTGACAGCACAAGGCAGTAAAACATATGGTACTTTACTTACGTCATGGGCCATCAAGTGAATGAAAAAAGCCGAATATCCCCAGTATCCCACAGTACGCAATCAACTTCTTGTCTGCTCCTCCCCCCCCCCACGTCTACCGCATCCCCAGAACATGAGGACCGGTCATCAGGTGACGGCCATTGTTTTCAAGCCAGTGCAGTGGACTGCGACTCCCAGCACCGTCTCTTCCCCTCCCCCCACCCCACCCCACCCCACCCCACCCCCACTCCCACCCCCAATGCACCCGAGACTGGTGTCAGCTTACGATGGTTCAGTGAACTCCAATTCGCGGCGACTGCGTTTCCAATGCCATCGCTTCCTAGTCCTTTGTTTTGCCAGTTCTCTCCGAGTTGCGTTTGCGCGGGGACGCGGTGAGCCGGTCATGGCAAAGAGTAACGCGTATAACCAATCCAATTTTTCTTCCACCCGTATTTGATTGATTGCATAGGGGATGTACTGAGTCGGAGCCGGAGCCGCCGGAGCCGGAGCCGCCGGAGCCGGACCATTTTACTCGGAGCCGGAGCCGGAGCCGGAGCCGCCACAACATTTCACCCGGAGCCGGAGCCGGAGCCGGAGCCGATTTTTTTCTCCGGAGCCGGAGCCGGAGCCGGAGCCGTCTGAAATTTCCACGGCTCCGCATCCCTGCTTCAAGGTCATAAGATTATTACATTTTATTTGAAAAAGTAAGGTATTTTATGATTTACTAATATATGATTTCATAAGAAATTGGCCATGTTTAATTTATTTTGCATTTAAGTTCGTAAAACATTTAAAAATCATGGCTCATTTGGAATGGGTCTGGCCCATGTTAAACCCCATTTCCCACACTTTTTTGGAAAAAATGAACTACTGAATATATAAGTTTAACTTTTATTTTGACACTCCAAAATTCTTCTCTGATCTCGAAACAATCAAAGTTTTGACAAATATTTACCAAAAGATAAGAAAATTCATGTTTCAAAGTTATCGATAAACAGTAGAGATGTCGGTTTTCTTGGACTAAAAAAATGGCATCAAACTGAACTTTGGTCTCCGATTTCTCGCAAACGGGTTCGAATTTCGGAAAACCGACTTCAGTCTGGGACATAGGTGGCTCAGCTCTAGTGAAAACCGTTTTGTGGAAAAAAGGTGGCAGTCTACCTTTAACCCTATGGCGTTGCATGGAAAGAAATGAGTTCAAACTGCCTCGAGCCCCTCTAACATTGAGAAAGTTCCAGCGCCAGTGCTCCCACATGTAATAATAACCTGTGAATCATTTTCATTTTATTACTTAATGGATTCGCTCATTAAAATATGTTCATTTCTTTTAACCAAATTTCTATAAACCCAGCGCGTTGGATGCTGGACCAGTCAGCGATGACCGTACAGAGACCAGAGAGCGTGAGTGGACGGAGGGGACCGCGTCCAGTCTATCGGGCACGTTTAAACTTTCAGATAAAACTTTGCCATAGCACTGGAATTGCACGATGGGGCAGTGGTGACCCGGGAACGTTTGAAAAGTTGATGGGGCAGGTTGAAAGTTGAGGGGACAAAAATTGCAACTCAAAATTTTGAAATTATCTCGTCTTTTGTATTTTTTACTTTAAGTCCATTGACGTCATTTAAGCGTTAATCACATAGTATTTTTTATTTTGAGGTTTTGGCTTTTCACCAGGGCCTCCTCTCAGGGGCGACACTTTCCGAAAATTATTGGTAGGGCTCTAATGTAAATTTTTGCCAATTCAAAGCGATTCTTTCCACGCAACGCCATAGGCATAATGTTAAATTTCCAAAATTATTGGTAGGGCTCGGGCCCTACCATGCCTATACAAAACGACACCCATGCCTCCTCTAACATGTTAACTGCGGGAGCTGCAGCCCCCGCAGTCATCCTCCAAACTGGTCACTGAGGGGTACCTTAGTCATTTTTTAGTCTTAGACGTTTTTGGTAGGGGTTACCTTAGTCATTGCCCGTGATCGGGCCCCCCAGTCAAAACTGCTTAGAGGAGGCACTGCTTTTCACCCTCTCCCATGGGGGAGGGGCTGCCGCCGCCCGGTGCTCCGCGCACCACGGACGCCACGCGAGCGCTGCTGGCGCGGCGGCGCGCACTGCTCGGCCCGCGCGCCGAGTATACGGTGGTGAACCGGCAGTGTCGAGCGGCCATCAGACGTGACCACGCGGCATACTATGCTGACCAGCTGCGTGAGGCAAGACCGGCGAGGATGTGGACAGTGCTGCGGCCGGTGATCGGGGCGGGGAAGAGTGCCACTGCTGCTGCGCCAGCGTGCACGCCGGAAGCGCTCAACGCGTATTATGTGAGCGTGGGCCCCACCACCGCAGCCAGCGTCCCTGCCCCGCTGCTGCGGACCCCGGTACCTGTCAGAATCCCTCGCGTACTCACATGTTCCTTACAACTTCAGTGGGTAGGGTACGTTGCGCTGTATAATATTTTTCAAAAGATGAAAAGATCGATGCTTCGACTTTTACCCTTTTGACTTTTTATTTCAGACTTTGACTTCGACTTTTCTATTTTATACTTTTTTCATTTTTTGACTTTTTGTCCTTTGACTTTTACCCGTTTTGACTTTTTGCTTTTGACTTTTGACTTTATTCCGTTTTGACTTTTTTGTCTTTTGACTTTTACTCGTTTTGACTTTTTGTCTTTTGACTTTTTTCCGTTTTGACTTTTATCCTTTTGACTTTTTGCATTTTTGACTTTTTGTCTTTTGACTTTTACACGTTTTGACTTTTTGCTTTTGACTTTTTGTCTTTTGACTTTTTTCCGTTTTGACTTTTATCCTTTTGACTTTTTCATTTTTGACTTTTTCATTTTTGACTTTTTGCATTTTTGACTTTTTGTCATTTGACTTTTTGCGTTTTTGACTTTTGCACATTTTGACTTTTTGCTTTTGACTTTTTGTCTTTTGACTTTTATCCGTTTTGACTTTTATCTTTTTGACTTTTATCCCGTTTGGCTTTTTGCACTTGACTTTTTGTCTTTTGACTATTTGTCTTTTGACTTTATTCCTTTTGACTTTTTGTCCGGTTACCGGAACAGACCTCTCCGTGGTGGGTTCGGGGGGCGACTCTGTGTGTCCTGGGAAAGGGGATGGATTCTGGCAATCTGAT